CCATGCACTGAAGCAGCCACTTACTGTCAGATGAACTTACAGTCGGTTTGTCACTTTAGTTGTATAAAAAAAACCGGATTTGATCTTCCACGGCACTAATGAAATAGTTTGACGACTCAGTAGCGAAGTGGCTTAGTATGAGTTACGACGCTGGAGGCCGCGGGTTCGAATCCCGCCTGGATCAAGTATGACCTACAAATAACAATCGTTCCGGGCACAGAATACTATAATACATATATATTAGAACGGGGGAGTGGGGGGGAACCCGTGTAGCCACTAATATGTCACTAACATATCAATTCACATGCATAAATGTTAACACATATCTTTTGACGTTACCAATCAAGTATTATTAATGTGTCAAAAACAACAAATATTAGAAGCATTAGAGATGTAACAAAATTTTACCAATACCGACAAGCCGGAAATATTGTCGCTTTTAAAATAGTACTTGGCTTAATGAAAAGCTATATAGATTCGATAAAATACGATGAAAATATTAATTTAATGACCTACAAATAAACTCAATTTAAAAAAAATATATCAAGTTGTAAATTTGTTCCCGCTATAGGATAACATTAATGATTTTCAATAAAGTTTTTAGATTAGTTCTTCTGGTTACGTATCATTATTTTGTACCTATATTTATCTCGCGCCTCATTACCCTCAAAGAGTTGGGTAGACACATTTTGTGTTAAAAGTAAAAAAAAAATTAGTTGTTCATACTCTTTCATCCGATTTTGCGCTTGAATTTTGTTGGCTTACCAATACTAGTACAGTATATATATTACTATTGGTACTTTTTTGAAATTTTTCATGTCCATAAACCATTTTTGCAGTTCTCCTGGAGATCTCGATTTAAAGAATACATAGTAGACATACACACTATTTATATATTATGACTATATATTATAGATTTATTTATTATAGGAAGTAAGTCCCTTCTTAATAGACAAACTTTTAGTTTTGTATTTATATCAACCTATTACAATTTGTAGACGTTAACTAACGTAGATAAACAGGCCAAAACGTTTCAAAGATAACAAATAATAAAGAAATACTAATTTAAAGAAGTATACGAATACGTTTTTGTCCGCGTGGAATTCAGTCATACCGCGTTATCTTTTTTATTCGTTCTTGTTTTATGTCTTCTAATATTTCCTCCTTGTGTTATTTTACTTTGAGCTTGTGATCAATATATCATTATTCTTAAATATAGGTCTTAAAGTTTGCTCTTGTTGTGACAAGTATAATAAATACTAAAAAATCTTACTACCGAATTGGATAGTTATAATGTGTCAAAAGTGTATCAATCTGATGCGAGTCATGCACACAATTTTTTAGACAGTTCTGGAAAGGGGGCTAATAATTATGTGTTAGAATATTCGTAGCATCGGATATAATCTACCACAAGTTGAAATACTCTTGGCTCACATAAAGCTTGATATTAATATTATTGTTTTAACAGAGTATTGGCTAGGAGCAGTTAATCATTTACCGACACTAAATAATTATACCGCATATGGTACTAAAAATAATAAGTTATTAAATGAAGGAGTTGTTGTTTATATAAAAAGTGATATTATACCAACTGTACTTGAGTTCCCCGGTTTTGAAGTTAACAGTCTGGTTATTAAGATCGGAAATGAAACTGCAATTATTGCTATCTATCGTCCACCTTCATATCGTTCATATCAACCTTTAACTTAACTTCTACTGCTTTTGATTACCTTCTAAATTGGCAAGAGTATATTAACAAATTAAAAAGCACTATTAGAAAACTTATACCAGTTTTTAATCGTTTAAGACATATTCCAATTGAACTACTCAAAATCATATATAATGCTTTCTGCCACTCTCTATTGTCATGCTGTATTACTGCTTGGGGATGCACTAGCAAAACTTATATTTTGCGCATTGAAATATCTCAAAGAGCTGTGCTAACAGTCATGCTTTCTAAACCTTTCAACTTTCCCACACTCTAGAACTCCACTGCATACGCCCATTTATGAGTTAGGTAACCCAGAAGATCATCAGCTGAGTGATCACGACGGAAACCTTACTGGCGATCAATAATAAGCTGGTGATCCCCATGGTACCGCATGAGCTGGTTGTTAATAATGGACTGCATTATTTTAGAGAACAAGGAGGTGATGGCGATACGCATATAATTGGACGGAGCAGAGCGTTTACTTTTTAAGGGATCGGGTGCAAGAAAGCCGTCTTCCATGATTTCGGGACTGCGCCTAGGGTGTAGAAGTACCGGAAAGACGCGTTAAAACCGGTGCCAACTCCAGAGCACGCGTTTTCAGTACAATGGGAGGGACGCTGTCAAGCCCACTGGACTTGTTGACGTCCAGGGAGAGGAGTACACTGCGCACTGAGCGTTGGGTAAACAGCACATCCTGCGTAGAGCACTCACACCGCGGGATGGTCGACGTTGTATTCTTCTATCATCAAGAGTCGGGTTGGACGCAAAGAGAGAGCCCAAGTTTTCTAAACAATAGTGGATTAAAATAGAAGATATTTGACTAATGATATTTTATTTTCTTACATCAGAGAAAGAAACACTTCTTTTCATATCATATAAATGTACCAAAACATGTTAAGGCTTTCGATAAATAGCGTTATAACCATATTCTTTACGCCAGGCGTAAATTAACCAGACTGGTGGCAAGAAGCAGCGTATAAAGGTCTCGTTTGGTACTCGGCCTTCCCCATAGTTTGCCTCATTTGCCATGGCTACCACGCTAGGTAGGCGGATTGGCCACCGCAGTTTTTTAAATATATTTATTTATTATAAGGAACATTGATCTTTCTCATTTCTCATCCCTCTTTCGTTACTTTTGAAAAAGTTTTCATCGACATTGTAACGTTACATTCTGTGATTACGTAGTAAGTTTTGTTCAATTCATATTTTTCCTTTTTAAACCTCAACACTAGGATTTTTTCACATATAGTGTTGGGGCAGTTTACATACAAACATTTAATGTCTTATAGAATGTTTTTCATGCTAATAAGTATAGGTATGGGCAGCTCTTGGCAGCTGAACATTGCTGATACCTCTCTGTTCGTTTCCGCTCAATGTCTACATAATATGTTCATTGTCACTGCAGTCTCGGAATATTTTTCTATATTAAAGTTATAAAATTCTAGCTATTTCAGTAAAGTAGCTTCCATTATAATTTAATTAACGAATAGTAAATGAATGAACGAATAAAATGTAGGCAAGAATTAATGTTTAGTAAATGGCCGTGTAGTGGCGGTGTAAAATATGCTTCACTCCATATCCTGCCATGGGTGTAATAATAAGAGGCGACGAAGGCCATAAATATAATATTGTAAGGTTAGCTTAAAAAGATGTCCCGCTGGCTATTTTGTTGGTTCTTTTCAGGACAGAGGGTTTTTCCCCGAACTAGTAGTAAAGGTAGAAAATGACTTTCAATGAGAATTTTATGTAATTATATTAAATGAAAATGATTCTATTCTAATTTATTCTAGGCTTCGACGTAGTACTGTACCACCACATCTCTCAGATCAGACCGGAGATCGACAGTGTAGTCCAGTTGTCGCGACGAATATGCTAGTGCAAGGTATTGTCTTGTTGTCTGCAGTGAGCCAAGACGAAAGGCAAGTAATCATCGAGAGTGCCTTAAAACAGTAGCGAGCAGAAAGGCTCTGAGCGACGCTGATCACTGTAGCGTAGAGAACAGCTTGAAGAAACAGTAAGCGTTATTTCAGTGCTGCGATAAATCTTGTAAAGCAAGAGGCTTGCAGAATCTGAAAACTGCAGAAGTAGGAGTTTTTGAAGATAATAAACAAAAGGCTTGAAGTTGTAGTTTTCGAAAGTTATTGTTTACAACAACAACAAGTGATGTTTGTAACATCACATCGGGGTCACCACTTCAGCCATGCAAGGTAAGGTGGAGATATCCCACCGGGCAAGGTGTTCTGCCCGGGGAGCAGACAACGCTCCATTACGGAGTTCTTTTTTTATAACGCTCATTAAATACAAAGGGACAACAAATAAATAAAATATCAGAATTGTTTTATTCCAAAAATTTTACCTAAATCAAATGACAAATTATATTTTATGGTGCATCAAATACACCCATCATTTTAGTTTAAAGTATTATTGTAAAAGAAAAGCGACCGCCCTTTTTCCATTTGTGTATTTTGCTAACTAACTTCAGTGGAAAACGGCTATTATGGCAGTTCCGACCTGTCAATCAACGCGCAATATTTATGTGAAAAAGAGTCAAAAGTTTAAAAAAGAAAACTAGAAAATTACTATAAGCAAAAGAGTCATATTTTACGAAGTGACAGTTTTTCATAAAAAAACGAGTAAATAAAATCATACCTTTTTATAAAATACTTCTTTTTTATGGAACTATACAATATCGACGCTTCACAGTCAAAAAAGGATAACCGCCAATTATTGCGAAATCGACTTATATAATATATGGTTAGAATCGTCCTTTTTTCTGCGTCTTTTGGTCTAAGTCTCATGGCTCTGTGACATACTTTTTGTCGGTTAGGCAGTACAAAAACTGAGGTCCTCAGCCTAATTTCTTTGTCGTAAACGACACATATTTTAGTGAATTTTTAGTTTTGACGGCTAGCTTCAGGTATAAAAAAATACCATTTTTCAAAATGGTATTTTGAAACTAAGACTTATGTTATTTAGGCTCTTTTAAACACTTATTTTGGACCTTTACCAGTTTGGGCTAAAAATAATTTACGTATAAAGATACATTTATTACATTTAGCTTGGACGTTTTATTTCTAAAGCTACGTTTACGATATTATGTCAGTTTCAAAATATTATTGTGGTTTAAGTTATTTAAGCCAATATTTCCGTGACTTTGTTTGTCTTTTACAGTTATTAAAACTAAAAAAAGGTTACGGTCACATATTGAACATTTACTGCTCAGACGACTGCGACACAAACGCCATGCTCGAATACTATAACGATAATATGAATATTATAACGTGCCAAAATGGTACGCAGTTACGAGCCTATTTTGACTATCCAGGTAAGCTATATATTCTTAATGCTATACGCGTTGGTAACTATTAACTCCCTATGTTATGAATAACGTTTGTGTATATATACATTTTTTGATGTTTATGCTTGTCATAACTTCACACACCGATAGATAAATAGGATCATAGCAATAATTTGGTAGCCACTTATGGTGAGGTGTTTGTACAACATAACAATGATTTATCATTAATGTTTCAGGATATCAATATGGTTCTAAAACAACGTGCATCTGGCATTATTGGCAAAGCGTTGCACAATTCCAACATAAGCTTCCGCGTTCAAAGAAAACTTAATTTTCATAGCCCAGTACCACCAGCTGATAAGGTAGGAATGATTGTAACTAGCCAATATCATGAGAAATAAGGGGTGTCTTGTGTGTTTATACAAATAAGTATTTATATAAAACTGTTTTTTTTATTTGTTTTTATGAAATAAATCTATGGAATAAAAATAAATCACCATGCTCTGGTCCTAATGAAATAGTCTACACAGGACTGAATGTACACGAAAAGAATTTAATTTGTAAATATCAAGATATTGCTAAAAAAGGTGTTGTTAGTAAATGTAAATAAAGAAGCAGAGCCCCCGCCTCCAGTCATAACCGAAATGACAAATGCAGAGCCATTTGATTACGTTTTCGATAAGAAAAATAATAGCTTTCAACAACCACAAAGTTACTTGTTCAGAGCAGTCTGGTAATCAATTAACAACCAAGGATGAAGACAAACCATCACAAACACCATATACTGTAGAAATTGAGATTATGTCGTTACTTAAAACTCCGATTTATTGTGACGTAATAGAGCTTTAGCCTTCTACCAGCTACAGTGCAGTATTGCAGTCACAACTTATGTCACAATTAAAACAAAAATGTTAACCTATCAAGCTTAAAGAAAAAAGGCAATGCGAAACAACACAAAAAATACTTTGATTATTTATCAGATGATGAAGATTTTACAGCAATTTTTGAAGATGCTATTGCTTCCGATACTTACAAACCTTCTTCAGATTCGTCTGACTATGATGAGAAAATAAATAATGCTAATTAAAAAAAACGCATGAAGTCCAACAAAAGTAATGAAAACATAAACGCCCATGGATCAAGTCGAACTTAAAGTATTAGAAGAAAATGCAATGAAAAGGCAGCGAAAGAATAAAAAAGAAATAACGAAGTATTCTAAAGCAATCCGATCAAGCATACATTACGCTACATGGGACTGAAATATCTGATAAAAATATTAAAAGTAACCCATGCAAGAAAAAAATGTGGCAGTGATTATGATTCTGTTAAAAATGAGAAGGGAAATTTTTTTTTAACTATTTTCGAAGTCTATCATCGACACGACGCAAATATTGGCTTATATTTATGATGCAGAAAACGGATATAAAAAGGAGAAGAAACAAATAATCTGAGAAACAATCCTACACTTACAAATATTTTGTAACCGAAGGCGAGGGAAAAGGTACAGTTTGTCTTCAATTTTGAGCAGCTACTTTGGATGTTGGTTTAAAAGTAATTTAATATTCCGTACAAAACGCTAATATTGGACCTTCCTTCTGATAACCTTGGCAGACGTGAACCACACAATAAGATAAAAGATTTGACGATACTGTTATCAATTTCATTAATAGTCTTCCGGCGGAACCGTCCCACTACTGTGGTAAGAATTCTAGTCATGTCTTTTTCCTAAGTTAATATAAAAAATTATCATACTTGTATCAAACACGATGACTTACTGAAACTTTGTCATGAAAAGGTGATTCCTAAAATATTTCATAATGAATATTACAGTCTTACAACCGCTAACAATGTCAAAGATACTCTACCAGAAACCGATGTCGTAGATGGTGATATTGAATAAGCAGCTTTTGTTTTTATTTTGGCGAAGAATTAACGTTGTTTAAGGGTTAATTTTTCAATTTTCACATAACTTTTATTTTTTAAAAAATACGACGTTTTGACATATTTTTATACAAAAGCTGTCTAGCAAATTTACTTTGATTAGAAAATCTGACGATAAAAAAATCGGCTCTAAGATTTGAAATGTATACTTAACTAGGTACTTAACTAATGTATACTTAAACTAATAAAGGTCTAAAGACTGCATTTAAATATTTTGTCTAATATTTAATTTAAAAATAGCATCATGCTATAAGCTGAAGTGGTACCAAGCCTGGGCTGACGCATCTACGTCCTGCGATATAAACACCAGCGCTCTAAAAAAGAATTATAATTCCGCCTCTAGGTCCTTCAAAAAAGTCAGTGCCAAGGCAAAGTCACAGCACATAGGCCGAATCGGCGAGAAACTAGTTCGCCTTCCTTCTGGAACCCATGCATTCTGGTCTCTCGCCAAGGCTGTCCAGAATAATTTCTGTCAACCATCTCTTCCATCTCTGCACCGCGAGGACGACTCACTGGCCCATGATACAAAAAAAGAAAGCCGATCTGCTAGGCTCTTTCTTTTGCGTCCAACTCAACTCTCGATGACGGGGGAGTACGCCGCCAACCATCTCTCGGTGTGAATGCTCCATGCCGGAAGTGCAGTTAACGCAGCGCTCGGTTCGCAAAGCACTCCTGTCTCTGGACATCTACAAGTCGAGTGGACCTAACGGAATCACCCCAATTGTGCTGAGGACGTATGCTCCAGAGTTGACACCGGTTTTAACGCATCATTTCCAGTACTCCTATTCCCTAGGCGTAATTCCAAAAGCATGGAAGACGGCTTTTGTCCACCCGATCCCTAAAAAGGCGACCGCTCAGACCCGTCCAACTACAGGCCTATCGCCATTATCTACTTGTTTTTCAAAACAATGAAGTCCATTGTAAACGCCAGATCATGAGGTACCCTGGGGATCACCAGCTGATCAGCTGGTCTTCTGGTCTACCTAACTCATAGATAGGCGGAGGCAGTAGAGTCCAAAGGGGAGGCATTGGCCGTTAGTTTGGACATTGCAAAGGCCTTCGATCGGGTTTGGCACAGAGCGCTTCTTTCAAAGCTCCTTTACTATGAGCTTCCCGAGAAATTGTGCAATTGGATCATCAGCTTTCTTGCAGATCGGAGCATCAAGGTCATTGTAGACGGTGCAAGCTCCGATTACATGCCTATTAATTCTGGTGTTCCACAAGGCTGCGTGCTATCGCCAACGTTGTTTCCTCTGCATATCAATGATATGTTGCCAACCTGTAATATTTATTGGTATGCAGATGACAGCACTGGTGATGCTCTGTGCACGGGACGTGCCAATATTTCTCGGGGAAATGTCTCCGAGTACCAGGACAAACTTGTGTCTGAAGTCGAATCTTTGCTGAACAAAGTCTCGGATTGGGGTAGACTAAATCTAGTCCAATGTAACCCTCAGAAGACACAAGTTTGCGCGTTAACCGCTAAAAAGAACCCAATTGTCGTACCTTCTAAGTTTCAAGGCACTCCCCCGGTTGCAGTTTCAGAGTCAGCCAGTATCGGGATCCTCGGCGTCGACATATCGAGTGACGTGCAGTTTTGTGGCAGATACTGACATCCATTTTGAGCGCGAGAATAACCCAACACCTGGTTCTAAATCAGGTGATCTTACGCCCTCAAAATTGATGTCGGGGCGGTGGTCATGAAATCAAGGAACCACTCCTCATAGACGCGGTCATTGACAAAGTGGTTAAGCGCAACCGGCGAAACTTCTCTTCCGCCTGGATAGACTACAGAAAGGAATTCGACTCGGTGGCCCTTATATGGCTATAGAGGGTCCTCGAACGTACAAAGTTAACTTTACAGCTAGAGACTTCCTTGAGCAATGCATGGGGCAGGGTAGTACGATTCTATTATTTTATGACATTAAATAATATTCCTTTACCGGAGGGGCCTTCCTGGGGTCTCCGGGAGGTGATTTCAGCTTCGAAAGGGAGGGACAAAAAAGACCCTTCTTTTCTACTCGTATATGAATGATCTCAAGTTGTTTGCCTCTAGTCGTTCCCATCTTCAGAAATTGCTGAACATCACTTTGGAATTCAGCAATTCCATCAGAATGGAGCTGGAGACGGACAAGTGTGCACTTTTTCATCTCAAAAAGTGTAGGCTTGCCAACTCTGAGGGCATAGATTTACCTATGCCCATGAACATTAGAACCCCCTCCGAGGCAGAAACGCACCGATACCTGTGTATGTCACAGAACATGAGGCGGACATAAAACAGTCAGTTTGCGATGTGTTTTATGCCCGTTTGACAAAAGTTCCTAGCAGCCTTTTTTCTGGCGTTAATAAGCCACGCGCAAATAACTGTTAGGTCATACCTTTTCTCATGTAGTCTTGCCGGAAGCCATGCCAAAAATGACTGCGCCAGACTTTACTGCGACCGGGCCATCATAACAGACAGGGCTATTCTTGCGAATAAGCGTGATATTGTGCTGATGAATCAGGCACAGTCATGGATATTTTTGCTCTACTTTACCATTCCATATGACGAGAACCTATTGAAAGCCGAATCAGATAAGAAAACAAAATATATGGACCTAGCTCACGAAATAACCGACATGTGAGTTGGTCTGCCGAACGATATTATTCCTGTAGTCGTCTCTGCGAATGGGCTAATCTCGGTCAGCCTCTCGGGTCATCTGAGGCAAGTGTGACTCCGTGACGGACTGGTCCGTGCTCAAATGCAGAAGGCGGTGCTCCTCGATACTGTTCGCATCGTCCACCGGATTCTTTCCCTTCCCCCTAACCCTCAGCCGTTAGGTCTACCCTGCCGAAATCTTCCATCTGGTTGGGGTTTCATATACATATATATATATATGTACTTTTTATATATTTAATATTATATACTTATGTATATTTATCATACATAATGTAACGCTCCCGCCCTCTTCGCTTATATATAAATATATTAAATATTAAATATATTATATATAACTAAATATACCCCTTTTCAATAAAATTATATATATATATATATATATATATATATATATATTACCAAGATAAACAAGATATGTTTTGATATTTCTAAATGACCTTTCAAAAGGTATAATTATAGGCCGTTTGTAAAATTTTGGCGTGATCGTCTTAGTTAGGACCCTTATTTACGTTGTGTTTGTTTAGTAACTTAGCTCTTTTAGGTGTCTCTCATAAAACGTCCTTATTCCACTTGTATCAGGTTGATCAGGAGATTATTTATCCCTTCCCGCTTGGAAAAGGCTCAAAATATATTTATACAAAATACCAGATACAAGGGCTTCGCTCTCCTACATTCATTTTAAAAAAATGTTGGGGAGGCACACGCCGTGCGCGGTGAGCGCCAACCATTTTAATGCACTCTCCCCAAAGGGAACGCTAATTCGGGAACTGGACCACAGCAAAATAACTGGCGAACCAGTAAAAGGGTCTTGGCCCCTTGTTAGTGCGTAAGCACAAACATCGACCGAAGTCTTTTTTTTTTTTATAGAAGAGGTGGCAAACGAGCATGCGGCTCACCTGATGTTAAGTGACTACCGTCGCCCATGATCAACCGCAACACCAGGGGAATTGCAGGTGCGTTACCGGCCTTTTAGAAAGGAATACGCTCTTTTCTTGAAGGTCCCCAGGTCGTATCGGTCCGGAAAAATCGCTGGTGGTAAACTATTCCACAGAGAGGTTGTACGCGGAAGAAAACTCCTCTTGAAACGTACAGTGGTGGACCGCCAAGTATCCAGATGGTGTGGATGGTATCAGAACGTTTGCCGTGTAGTGCGTTCACGAAATTTGGCGGCTGGGATTAATCCGAACAATTCCTCAGAGCACTCCCCGTGATAGATGCGATAAAATACGCAAAGAGATGAAACATCTCTTCGCAGCGCCAGTGAATCGAGCCGATCGGAAAGCACTCACTCGTCGACGATTCGAGCCGCTCTGCGCTGGATGCGGTCAAGTGGAAGAAGCTGGTACTGGGGAGCCCCAGTCCAGAGATGGGAACAGTATTCCATGAGCGGCCGAACCTGCGCCTTGTAAAGTTGCAGGCGGTGTGCCGGCATGAAATACTGTCCCGCTCTGCTGAGCACGCCAAGCTTTTTAGAGGCCAATTTGGCC